ATGAGATAATTTGAATGAGAGTGGTGGGTGTGGGTATGGGTGTCAGAGAAGAGAGTGGGGAATATGGGCATTGTTGCGCCCGTGGACAAGCATGTGGGTTATGGTGATTTTGTATGAGACAACACTGAATTGCACTTGCCAGGAGCCACATAGTCAGCTGTGCAGTTTTTCATCATTGCAGTTTTGCTGCAGTGCAGCTTTTGCCTTATTGCAGCTTTGCTGTGGTRCAGTTTTGCCTCAGAGCAATTTTGCTGCGGTGCAACTTTGCTGCAACACAGCTTTGCGTCAGTGCACTTTTTCTGCAATGCAGCTGTTCTCAGTGCGATGCAGCTTTTCCTCGACGAGGTTTTGCTGCTCAGATGCGGTTTTCGGTGCACTTTAAATGTGGGCATCTGTTTGCACTTAAAATAGGGGGTGGCTTGGAGTCAGCCCTTTCTTCCTCCACCCATTATAATGCTCACATGTCCTTGCAATGTTGCACTGCATCTACTGTTGGTGCTGCACTCTCTCCTCATCAGCCCTCATGCACCCCTCATGCACTTCTCATCCAACCATTTTGCACCCCTCATGACTCCTCATGCGCCCCTCATGCACCCCTTTGGCACCCCTCATGCAACCTTCGTGCACCGCTCATGCCACCCTCATGCAACCCTCATGCACCCTTCATGCAACCCTCATGCAACCCTTAAGCTCCCCATCTAAAAATTCTTTTGGCCGCTTCTTAGCTTCCAATATTCGAAACTCAAAATTGTTCATTTTTCATAATCGCAGAAGTATTACTTCTGCAAGGTCTCTACAGAAAAAAGCGGGCAAAGTAAGTTTTACTATAATTTAGTTTACCTCTATTGCGGTTCCTGAGGAGTGTTCCTCCAAGAAGGAAAAGCGCGGGAACGACGTGAGACAGGGGCTGGGGCAGCAGCCTGACCTCAAGCCCAAACTATGGACCGACTGCTGCGACGGACTGCATCACTCCTGTTCGGCATGACTCTAAAAGTAAGCTAACACAGGTCTGAAGCCCAAGAAGGAAAAGATGGCATCCTTATTGCATAGGTGGCGATAAGGGCACATGTCACACTCTCATTCGCCTACAAGAACTGCAGTACTACTGCAGGCAGAGAACTGGTCATCAACCAAATTTTCGAGTTAAAATTCTATTACTATTTTAAGGTCTTCAATTTTAAGTTGAACCCAGTAGGATTTGAACCTACACTAGCGGCTTAGAAGATCGCTGTCCTACCCTTTAGACGATGAATTCTTTTAATTCAATATTTTGCTTTTAGTCGAACACAAATTTTAATAATGAAAAGTAATTATCTCCATGCGTGTGTGTGTGTGTGTGTGTGTGTGTGTGTGTGTGTGTGTGTGTGTGTGTGTGTTGTAAACAATACTACATGGAATGTAACATATCTTAATCTTGTAACAATACTTTAACAAAAATTGAAAATGCTTAATATATGGTGTATTTTTTTGATTTCAACCTATAATTTTATCAAGTGGAAGGAAAGAGTATAAGTGAGCGTGACATCCTAAAAAGCTTTCCATTTCTCATCACCCCTCATACACCCCTCATGCACCCATCCCTCATGCACTCCATATGCACCCCTTATTCACTCCTCATGTATATCCCTCATGCGCCCTTCATGCACCCCTCATGCACCCTGCTGCCCCTCTTGCCCTTCAGCTGAAGGAGCTGGCCGAGAAGTTCTTGCAAAATGATGAGTGGATGTACAAGCTGAGCCTCAACGCCGTGGCAGCTGCTGCGGCTGTCAAGGTCAGCAGGGCTGGCTCACGCCGAGGGAGCTTTGCTCACGTGAGTTGCAAGCCAGCATGCTTGATGTGGCATGCTTGATGTGCCATTAAAAAATGAGATTAGGCACGGCATGGGCAAGACTGCTAGTGGATGTGCAAGCTGAGCCTCAACACTGTGGCAGCTGCTGCTGTTGAGATCAGCAGGGTTGGCTCACACCGAGGGAGCTTTGCTCACGTGAGTTGCAAGCCAGCATGCTTGGTGTGGTATCGTCAAAGTGATGAGATTGGAAATGACATGGGCAAAATAGTGAGTGGATGTGCAAGCTGAGCCTAAACGCCGTGGCAGCTGCTGCGGCTGTCAAAGTCAGCAGGGCTGGCTCACACCGAGGGGGCTACACTCGCGTGAGTTGCAAGCCAGCATGCTTGATGTGGCATGGTCAATGTGATGAGATTTGAAATGATGTGGGCAAAACGGTGAGTGGATGTGCAAGCCGAGCCTCAACACTGTAGCAGCTGCTGCGGCTGTCAAGGTCAGCAGGGCTGGCTCACACCGAGGGGGCTACGCTTGCGTGAATTGCAAGCCGGCATGCTTGATGTGGCATGCTTGATGTGCCATAGAAAGAGATGAGATGAGATTACACATGTCATGGGCAAAACTGCTGGTGGATGTGCAAGCTTAGCCTCAACACTGTGGCAGCTGCTGCTGTCGAGATCAGCAGGGCTGGCTCACACTGAGGGGGCTATGCTCACGTGAGCTCCAAGCCAGCATGCTTGGTGTGGTATCGTCAAAGTGATGAGATTGGAAATGACATGGGCAAGATCAGCAGGGCTGGCTCTGACAAAGGAAGCTGCGCTCACGCGAGTTGCAAGTCAGCATGCTTGATGTGTCATGTTCGAAGTGATGAGATTGGAAATGGCGTGGGCAAGCTCAGCAGGGCTGGCTCTTATCGAAGAATTATGTGAGCTTCAAGCTGGCATGCTAGATGTGGCAAGGTCAAAGTGATGAGATTAAAAATGGTGTGGGCAAGATCAGCAAGGCAGGCTCTGTTTAGGGAAGTGCCGCTCACGAGTCTCAAGCTATTCTTGATGTGGCATGGTCAAAGTGATGAGATTAGAAACGATAGGGGGCAAGATCAGCAGGGCCGGCTCTGTTTGGAGAAGCTCTGCTCATTTGAGTTCCAAGTGCACGTATTAAACGTAGAAGGGCAGGCTCTGCATGGAGGAGCCGCAATTTTGCAAGTTACAAGCGCGAGGATTGGAAGTGGAAGGTGCATTTGCCCATGAAGGATTTGTCCGAGTGTCAAGGGGGGGTATCTATCTGGGGATATGTCCTCTTACGTAAGCAAGCAGATCTAGAGCGTCATGTGTGCTTGTGTGAGATCTGTCCAGATGCGCTGACCCATCCTCTAGAGCAGGATGCTCTGGCCTGGGCATTCCTAGCAAGTTCCTGGCACAGTCGTTCATGCGCGTCTCTGCGCAATGTGTGTGTGTGTGTGTGTGTGTGTGTGTGTGTGTGTGTGTGTGTGTGTGTGTGTGTGTGTGTGTGTGTGTGTGTGCGCGCGCGCGCGCGCGCGTGCGTGCGTACGTGTGCGTGTGCATGCTTGTGCAGTCTTTGTTTTCTCTTTGATGCCTGTGGTTTCACTGTCCACACAGCCACCCATCTTCGGCACTGAGTTTGCTCTTGGATAAGAATCCCTTGCTCTGAATCTTCGTGGGCTTGATGGAGAATGCCTGCAATCAAGTGAGTGATATTGCTTGACTTGCAGATCTGAGCAGACAGTTGCACATCTGCTGGCACTCTTAGATCAAGCTGCACGCACGAAGGCTGCATCCAATTGCCTGAACCCATCAAGGCCTGTATGACTTTTTAAGTGGCCCGAGTCTTTGCTTGGAATGCGAGTAAATGGTGTTTGAACTTACTTGGCACGGTTTTGTACGTGTAGTGTGTTCGCGCATCGCTGTACTTTTGCATTTATGCTTCTGTGAAAAGATCTAGCTGATATGCACGCAGCCTTTATGCCTTACTGTTTCAGTACTGGTTTGGCTGAAATGGTTTTATCTATCCTTATTGCTGTCCTTCAGTGGAAATGGGCCTTATGTGGACTGTCATTCTCTGTACCTTCCCGTATTCCCCGAGGCCTGGCGTCTGCATCAGAGCCACCTGAAATTAATGCTTCTCTTGTTCCATTGAATGCTTTTCTTGTCCCATTCAATGCTTTTCTTGTCCCGTTTAATGCTTTTCTTGTCCCGTTTAATGCTTTTCTTGTCCCATTTAATGCTTCTCTTGTCCCGTTTAATGCTTCTCTCGTCCCGTTTAATGCTTCTCTTGTCCCATTTAATGCTTTTCTTGGCCCATTTAATGCTTCTCTTGTCCCATTTGATGCTTCTCTTGTCCCATTTGATGCTTCTCTTGTCCCATTTAATGCTTCTCTTGTCCCATTTGATGCTTCTCTTGTCCCATTTAATGCTTCTCTTGTCCCATTTGATGCTTCTCTTGTCCCATTTAATGCTTCTCTTGTCCCATTTGATGCTTCTCTTGTCCCATTTAATGCTTCTCTTGCCCCATTTAAACTTGCCCTGCCTCTCACTTTAGAGCTCATAGTCGTGTCACTGTGCAGCACAATGAAGAGTGTTGGAAAAACACGTTGTTTTGATGAGTGTTGGAAATGAGGGCCTTTGCTGAGACCCTCAGTACTTTGACTCCGTCTCTGGTGAGACGCCACAAATTCGCAACAGAATCTGCCTGGAAAAGCACGCAAGAAAATGGATGCATGATTTGCTGATTCCCTCTGTTCTCTGCCTTTAGTCAAATGCAGACCAAAGGCCACAACTGCAGCCAAATCATGAATTCAAGAAAGCACACACATCACCTGCTGTGTCCCTTAACTTTTTGCTCTTATCTATTGCCTGCAGACGCCCATCCAAGGCTCAGCCGCAGCCAAACAAATGATGAATATGAGAAAGTGCAAGATACATCATCTGCTGTGTCCCTCAAATCACATTTTTTGGTTCTGTCACCTGCAGACGCCCATCAAAAGACGCAGCCACAGCCAAGTCATGAATGCAAGAAAGTACATGCGTCATTTATGCGGTGTTCCTCAATCAATTGTTTTGCTCCTATCGCATGCAGACACCCATCAAAGGGCGCAGCCGCAGCCAAAGCAAGCGCGCCAGCTTGGATGGAGGCAACTTAGCCAAAACTACACGCATCATCTGCTGTGCCGCTCAACTTCTTGCCCTCATTTATTGCCTGCAGACGCCCATCAAAGGGCGCAGCCGCAGCCAAGTCATGAATGCAAGAAAGTACATGCGACATTTATGCGGTGTTCCTCAATTAATTGTTTTGCTCTTATCTATCGCATGTAGACGCCCATCAAAGGGCGCAGCCGCAGCCAAAGCAAACGCGCCAGCTTGGATGGAGGTGCAAACTCAGCCAGCAGCTACACCAGCAGTAGCAGCAGCAGCAGCAGCTCCTCTGACTCGTTGAGCCCTGAGGTGAGGTGCCTCAAGAGCATTGTGTCCAGGCTCGCCTTTGGGAACCTCCAGAGGGAAAAAACAGGAAGGCTCAGGGTTGGGGGCTTGGCACTTTGCATCACCTAGATCACCTGGGTAAGCTGGTATGTAGGGCTGGCCAATTCCATACATATGCACGCAACATACATCCTATTATCCCTGCCAAAAAGCTGATACATACATTTCCATTGTTGGGAATGTGCAAGACAAATGCTTCAGTTCAAGGTAAGGGTGGTGGTTCAATAAGCTGATACATACAGTACATTGGTAAGGAATTGGCCAACCCTGCCGGTATCCCATGTCAGGGCACATCAGGAGAAGCAGGTTTGGGCAAGGCTTTGAGCTTTGCTTTCCAGGAGGCACACTCGTGCTCTTTTTGCGCCTCTATGTCTGGACTCACACTGCACTGCCTTGTTGCCACTCTGCATGAGCTGTTTGTGTCGAACTACCTCTCCGTCACTCAGTGTTTATGCGGTCGCATTCGGCTTTTGGACACCACAACCATGATCACTGTGTTTAAATCACACTTCATGTTCTTTGTGTACTGAAACCACCTTTTCATCGTTGCCCTTGATGGTTTTTTTTTTTTTAATATCGCAATTGTGATTACCATTGTTTTTAATCACTGAGCGGGTACTCTGCTTCACAACAGCACCTGCCTCTACCTGCGCTTGATGTTGGTTTCACAATCCTTTCTTTCATCATGTGCACGGACTCGATTTCAAAGCGGTCCTTTGCTGCTGCACACCACAGGACCAGGCAGAGATTGCAGTTGTGGAGATGATGCTTGAAGCGTACCAGATGCAGATGGAGAAGATCCACAACAAGGTCAAGGTGAGCTTATGCTTGAAGCGTACCAGATACAAATGGAGAAGATCCACAACAAGGTCAAGGTGAGCTTATGCTTGAAGGGTACCAGATGCAAATGAAGAAGAAGATCCACAACAAGGTCAAGGTGAGCTTATGCTTAAAGCGTACCAGATGCAAATGGAG